TGGTCTAACCGCCCTTCGGCGTAACACACCAGCTTCTGTATCTGTATAGCCGGTATAACCGCCCTTCGGCGTAACACACCAGCTTCTGTATCTGTATAGCCGCTATAACCGCCCTTCAGCGTAACACACCAGCTTCTGTATCTGTATAGCCGGTATAACCGCCCTTCGGCGTAACACACCAGCTTCTGTATAGCCGGTATAACCGCCCTTCAGCGTAACACACCAGCTTCTGTATCTGTATAGCCGGTATAACCGCCCTTCAGCGTAACACATCAGCTTCGCAGGCACATGGTGCGGCGGCAGCTAGCTATATCACACCGAACTTCGTTCCTTGCCATGCTTTTGATCTGCTCCCTCATGCTAAATTTTTCTAGAGAAAACCCTGATATCTGCTCCAAATAGTCACTAGAAGGAGGAGCACCAACCTAAAAGTGTCGTATTCCGCGTAGCGTGTCTGCATATCCCAGCCCATCAGCTCGATCCGCAGTCTATAGTCCTTCTGATTGGTCAGGAGGTGGATGTTCTCGTTCCCAAGCCAGTATTCCCCGTTCTTGTTCCCAAACCCGTGCTTGTACTCCTCCCAGGTCCGGTCGAAGGGAACCGACCCGTCCAATCGTCGTTGGATCACAGTCCAGCCCCCTTCTGTGGAAAAACAATCATCATAATTTCTTTGAAAGCAATCAAAAAAAGTTTACCAGCACGTCGGCAGAACGTACTGCGCCCGATTTTTCGCGTTTTTCGTTGGATTTTTGGTCAACGTTGCATTAGCATTTTGCTTGTTGCAGACAATATTTTTTCCAACATAAGATTTGGAAACTACAGACGGAGTGTTGATCTTATATGCGCGAATACAACCTTATATGAGACATTCTGCTGAAGTGCTAAGCAAAATATATTACAGGTTTTGTGCAGGTGCAGTACGTTCTGCCGACGTGCTCAGTTTGCCTGGTAAGAACATAAAATGTGTTCAACTTAGCTTTGCCGGAAAGGTTGATTGGAATAGACCGACTCAGTGAGCGATTTCTCATGAAACTAAGGATTTGACCAACAACACAGTTGACTTTTTTCCCCCACATTTCAGTTTTAGTGTTGCTTTTGGCAGTTGATGTATACCTGTGTATATTACATTGTACATACATGTACATGTATGATTTGCCTTAAAACAATATCTACCTGCTGTATCCATGTCACAGTAGACCGTTACACCGGACAGGGGTGAGCCAAGTGTGTAGACTCCACTGGTCGTGTGTCCGGCGGCTTTAAATGCAGCACAGTCTGTATCTGGGAAACGGTAAGTAGCAGGGGACAGAGTCACGATGCAGTGTACAAAATACTTTTTTGAACCAGGTTGCCTAGTGGGTTCCCTGTTCAAGGGTTAGGTGTAACAAGTCGATCGGTGTAATATAGCCAGCTGCCGCCGCGCCACGTGCCTGCGAAGCTGGTGTGTTACGTCGTATGGCGGTTATACCGGCTATACAGATACAGAAGCTGCTGTGTTACACTGAAGGGCGGTTATACCGGCTATACAGATACAGAAGCTGGTGTGTTATGCCGAAGGGCGGTTATACTGGCTATACAGATACAGAAGCTGGTGTGTTACGCAGAAGAGCGGTTATACCAGCTATACAGATACAGAAGCTGGTGTGTTATGCCGAAGGGCGGTTATACCAGCTATACAGATACAGATAGGTGACAAGTAAGAAAATAGCAACAACAACAAAACAGGCGTCACAACTACAAGCCATTGTATTACATCAAAATGTTTGTATGATGTAAGGTAATGTTACCAGTAAAGCTTGTATATGTCTGTCATCTGTCTATGAAATTCTAGAATGTGTAAGCACCAAGCTGGAAACGATATGGCTGTGTCGCTGTAAGACCTGCACATGTAGCACCAGAACCATGAGAAACTCGGACCCTAAAACTCACCTGCAGGAGGAGCAGTCGGGGCTGCTGGGGTTGTGACCTGCGGAGGAGCAGTCGGGGCTGCTGGGGTTGTGACCTGCGGAGGACCATCACTCGCGGGGGGTCCTGACAGACATCCCAACTCTGTTGGTTTGATAAACATTTATTCAGTTATTCTTCAAGGTTTTGAACTTTTCTTACAGATAAGGCCACACCAATTTAATTTCTTGGTTAACGGATTATTGTTCTAGAAAAATAATGGAGCGGGCGGGCGAAAAAAACAAAACAGGCCTAGGCATCCTATTATGGCCCAAAATGGTATGATGGGAGCCATGAAGTCAACACACCAGGCTGGTTAAAAATTTAAACAAAGAATTTTTAACTTTAAAATGATACCACTGCATTGAAAGAGGGAATAACTGTGACAACTAGGAAGAAAAGGGCTGTTTTCAGCTGTTCAGGGCATTTTGCAGTTGATTCTGAATTTTTTTTTCTTGCAAATCAGAAAAAAATGAAGCGGGCAAATCCGTTAACCAAGAAATTAAATTGGTGTGGCCTAAGAGCATTCCTAATCAAACACCTGACAGACCGGCAAGCCAACTTTATTTACCTGAACGTTTTCCAAGGATGACTACAGTCTTGGACTCTGAGTTCCTCTTGGATCTGCGGTGCACTTCCGCACTTTTCCAAAAGGTGGCGCTGTGATCCCGTCGCCAATTGTCAGTTGAGCCACCTGGCCCCTATAAGGCAATGATCTTCCCGTTACAGTTAACAAGCAGTCCCAAGCTTTGCCATAGGCTCTATACTGTAGTATGACAAAACACAAAAACATAAAAGTACTTTACTCAAAATGAATACTTACTTATAATGATACAATCACATAAAGTTACTTTACTCACGATGAACATTTACTTGTTTCTAATTCAGAGCACAACAAGGCTCCTTTTTACAACCCTGAGCTTCACATATTTGCTCCAATGTTTTTTTATAAACTGTAGTATAGCTTAGAAAAAGGTTTCGATGCTCTAATTTCTTGAGAGAGAAAACAACAACAGCAATCTACAAATCAATGATGATAGTTACCGTTGGAAAAAAGGGACAAAAAATGGACAAAATCATCCTTACATTGTCCTCAGCCTCCTTCTCTTGCTTCAACTGCATCTGGAGCACCTGATCCTTCAGGTAGTGTAGTTCTTCCCGCAGATCTTCCTGGAACGCCGTTTTGTGTTCCCGCTGATCTGTCTGGAACACGGTGTGCTGATCCCGTATTTCTCTCATGAGCGCCGTTTGCTGATCCCGCAGATCTTTCTGGAGTGCCATTTGCTGTTCCCGCAGTGTGGCCATCTCTCGCACCATAAACAGAAGGGTGATGAAACTCACCACAGCCGCAAGTCCTGACAGCGCCAGGACGATTCCGAAGGTTTGCCAGTTTCCATGGCGACCTACAGAACCTTCCGGAGCTGCCTCGCCGTTTGGGAACAGCTTCTTGGACGACATCTTCGAGAAAACCTGGCGGGAAATGAAGCAAATGGTAACTTACAAGTCCGGAACTGAACCTAAACCTCTGGACTTGAATACGGACCTGAACCTAAATGTGGGTTTATAGGTACACAGCACTATCGTATAATTATTGAGAGGAAGTATAATCAATACGATAAGTACAGTGAAGACAACGGCAAGAAGAATAAAAACAAGTCAAATTCTCTGCTGCAGAAAGTAAATAGAATTCAAACTTGCAGTAGTGCCCAGACGAGGTGTCAGCTCAAACACTGCTGGTTTTCACAATGCCATGCACGACCGTGGGACTGGTGAATATATGGCAGCGGGCTCGAAATTCATTTTTGGAAATTGGTGCACTGGTGCACCCAACCTAAAAAAATCAGGTACACAAAAAATTTTTTAAAAATTCCTACAAAAATATTTGGGTGCACCAGTGCACCCATAGAAAAGAATTAGGGGCACAGCTCCAATTTTGGGTGCACTAAGGTGTACATGCACCCAGTATTTTGAGCCCTGTATGGTTTAGATCTCAAGTAAGGACCAGTAAGTAACTTAGTGTGTTGTCAATGACGAAAAGACCCCTGGAAACATACCAATAACAATTCTATAACACAATCACTGCGCAATAAGCCCTTAAAGTGGAAAACCTTTTGTTGAAAGAAATCCTTTTTAATTGGTTTACACAACAGGTAAACCAAAGCCTACATTAATAATACATTTTTTCCAAGCAAACTCTTTAGTCACCTATCAACAGCATTTGTAGTCATTTGTGGCAACAGGAGGCAAATTACAGTTTATAAAGCGTCACTTTTTTAGTTACCATAACAAATAAATGAGGACTGATGGACTCTATTGAAATGCATGTTACTGAGAATCCCATTAGTGCGGTAACCTGGCAATGTCGCTAAACTTTAGGCTGGTTTACACTTGTTCTCCGGCTGTGTGGAAACTTTATTATCCCGCTAAAACTGCGGGCTTTGTCTAAAAAGGAACGAGGAACACATATGCCACTTTAAGGGCTTATTCAGCAGAGTGATTGTGTTACAGAATTGTTTTTAATATGTTTCTGGGGGCATTTGTCTCATAGACAACATGTTAAGCTACTTACAGGTCCTTAATTTAGATGTAAACCATTTATTCACCTGTCCCACGGTCGTGCGTGACATTGTGAAAACCAGCAGTGTTTGAGCTGACACCCCGTCTGGGCACTACTGCAAGTTTCAAGTTTATTTACTTTCTGCAGCGGAGACTTTGACTTGTTTTTATTCTTCTTGCCGTTGTCTTCACTGTACTTAATGTATTGATTCTTCTTCCTCGCGATAACTATACAGTAGGCTTTCTCATTGAAAGCACTTCTGCCTTATACCAAAGAAAAATGTACAAATGCAGCTTTGCGGCTTTATACACACAAACATTCATTCTTTCCTAGAACTATCGCAGAGTGGAACTCGCTGTCACCAAGTACAGTAGGGGCATTGTCATTGGATAGCTTTAAACAATGTGTAGAGTTAGAAGTTCAAGGGTTACATTGTAGGTGTAACAAGTCGATCGGTGTAATGTAGCCAGCTGCCGCCGTGCCGCGTGCCTACGAAGCTGGTGTGTTATGCCGAAGGGTGGTTATACCGGCTATACAGATACAGACACAGACTAGTACTCTTTGCAAGACTGGATCAGAATTATTGCAGCACGCTTGGCCCTTTTTGCATTTCCGGATTCCATTATTTTCTAGTTGAAATCATGTTTTCATTTGCGTCATGTTCCGCCAGGTTTCTCGAAGATGTCGTCCAAGAAGCTGTTCCCAAACGGCGAGGCAGCTCCGGAAGGTTCTGTAGGTCGTCATGGAAACCAACGAACCTTAGGAATCGTCCTGGCACTGTCAGGACTCGCGGCTGTGGTGGGTTTCGTCGCCCTGTTCAATGACATCGCCACTATGCGGGAACAGCAAAGTGCGATCATGAGAGAGATATGGAATATACAGGATCAGCACACCGCGTTCCAGACAGATCAGCGCGAACAGCAAATGGCGTTAGAGGAAGAACTACACCACCTGAAGGATCAGGTGCTCCAGATGCAGTTGAAGCAAGAGAAGGAGGCTGAGGACAAGGTAAGGATGATTGTGTCCATTTTCTTTGTCCCTTTTTTCCAACAGTAACTATCATCATTGATTCGTAGATTGCTGTTGTTTTCTCTCTCAAGAAATTAGAGCATCGAAACCTTTTTTCTAAGCCATACTACAGTTTATGAGCACCGTTCCTGCATGTGAAGCTCAAGGGTTGTAATAAGGAGCCTTGTTGTGCTCTGAATTACAAACAAGTAAATGTTCATCGTGAGTAAAGTAGCTTTATGTGATTGTCCTATCATACTTAAGTTAAGTAAGTATTCGTTTTGAGTAAAGTAGTTTTAATATGTTTTTGTGTTTTGTCATACTACAGTATAGAGCCTATGGCAAAGCTTGGGACTGTGCTTGTTAACTGTAACGGGAAGATCATTGCCTTATAGGGCCCAGCTGGCTCAACTGACGATTGGCGACGTGATGACAGCGCCACCTTTTGGAAAAGTGCGGAAGTGCACCGCAGATCCAAGAGGAACTCAGAGTCCAAGACTGTAGTCATCCTTGGAAAACGTTCAGGTAAATAAAGTTGGCTTGCCGGTCTGTCAGGTGTTTGATTGGGAATGCTCTTAGGCCACACCAATTTAATTTCTTGGTTAACGGATTTGCCCGCTTCATTTTTTTCTGATTTGCAAAAAAAAATTCAGAATCAACTGCAAAATGCCCGGAACAATTGAAAACAGTCCTTTTCTTCCTAGTTGTTACAGTTATTCCATCTTTCAATGCAGTGGTATTGTTTTAAGTTAAAAATTCATTGTTTAAATTTTGAACCAGCCTGGTGTGTTGACTTCATGGCTCCTATCATACCATTTTGGGCCATAATAGGATGCCTATATAGGCCTATTTTTATTTTTTTTTCCCGCCCCCTCCATTATTTTTCTAGAAGAATCCGTTAACCAAGAATCAAATTGGTGCGGCCTTATCTGTAATAAAAGGTCAAAACCTTGAAAAATAACTGAATACATGTTTATCAAACCAACAGAGTTGGGATGTCTGTCAGGACCCCCCGCGAGTGATGGTCCTCCGCAGGTCACAACCCCAGCAGCCCCGACTGGTCCTCCGCAGGTCACAACCCCAGCAGCCCCGACTGCTCCTCCTGCAGGTGAGTTTTAGGGTCCGATTTTTTTTATTTTTTAATCCAACATGTAATCACCAGACGTGGTGACGGCACACTCAAGTTGTATCAACTTATATTAATGCCGTCACCAACACGGGACAAATACATGACAGGACAATACTCCTTTACACCTGAGCAAAGTAAGGAAAGTCGTGTAAAGTGCCTTTCCTAAGGGCACAAGATCGGTGGCATGTCAGGACTCGAACCCGGGACCTGTAGGTTCTGAGTCGCGCACTCTGCCGCTACACCACATGAGCCCACACCCGAGGGTCCGAGTTTCTCATGGTTCTGGTGCTACACGTGCAGGTCTTACAGAGACACAGCCATAACATTTCCATCTTGGTGCTTACACATCCTAGAATTTCATAGACAGATGATAGTCATATACACGTACAAGCATTACCGGTCACATCACCTTACATCATACAAACATTTTGATGCAGTACAATGGCTTCTAGTGCTGAAGTTGCGACCTTTTTTTCTTCTTTTCTTACTTGAGTTTTTTATGTTTACCGAAGGAAAACATCTTGTTTTTACTCAGTTTCTTCCTCCTCCTCTTGTTTCAAACTCTGACCAATGACATGATTTGTTGACGTCTGTCACAATGGTGACTGGTGTTGGGTTACATAATGTTGCAATTTCATGATCTGCTCTACTCCAGTCACCATATACTCATAGTACATGCATGTGAATGTGGCAACCTATTTTTGAACCTATGCAGCCCTGTGTGCTACCTGAATTTTAAGAATGCCCCCCCCCTCCAAAATCATGCCTACTTGGCTTGCACCACTGTATCCGGCAGATATGCCTTTTAATTTTTTACTAATTGTTAGGAATTATTGGCTCTTACTAGTATCAGTTAACTAAAGGCTGTTAGAAATATTGTCAAAGGTTTATGTATGTAACATTACTTAATTTGAGGAAAGTAGTAACTTATAGATCAGGGGCAACCTAAAGTTTTGATGGGCAACCTAATTTTTGCCGTAGGTTGCCCACTGGGCAACCTGGTTCAAAAAAGTATTTTGTACACTGCATCATGACTCTGTCCCCTGCTACTTACCGTTTCCCAGTGTCAGACTGTGCTGCATTTAAAGCCGCCGGACACACGACCAGTGGAGTCTACACACTCGGCTCACCCCTGTCCGGTGTAGAGGTCTACTGTGACATGGATACAGCAGGTAGATATTATTTTATTGACTTTTAAGGCAATAAATGTAATATACACAGGCGTGCATAAACTGCAAAAAGCAACACTAAAACTGAAATGTGGGGATGCAAAAGTCAACTCTGTTGTTGGTCAAATCCCTATTTTCATGAGAAATCGCTCACTGAGTCAGTCTATTCCAATCAATCTTTCCGGCAAAGCTAAGTTGAACACATTTCATGCTGTTACCATGTAAACTAAGCACGTTGGCAGAACGTACTGCACTGCAAAACCCGTTATATATTTTGCTTAGCACTTCGGCAGAACGTCCCATACAAGGTTGTATTCGCGCATATAAGATCAACACTCCGTCTGTAGTTTCCAAATCTTATGTCGAAAAAAATATTGTCTGCAACAAGCAAAATGCTAATGCAACGTTGACCGAAAATCCAACGTAAAACGCGAAAAATCGGGCGCAGTACATTCTGCCGATGTGCTGGTAAATTGTTTTTAATTGCTTGCAAAGAAATTATGATGGTTTTTCCACAGAAGGGGGCTGGACTGTGATCCAACGACGATTGGACGGGTCAGTTCCATTCAACCGGACCTGGGAGGAGTACAAGCACGGGTTTGGGAACAAGAACGGGGAATACTGGCTTGGGAATGACAACATCCACCTCCTGACTACTCAGAAGGACTATAGACTACGGATCGACATGATGGACTGGGATATGCGAACGCGCTACGCGGAATACAACACTTTTAGGTTGGTGCTCCTCCTTCTAGTGACTATTTGTAGCAGATATTGGGTTTTTTTCTAGAAAAATTTAGCATGAGGGAGCAGATCACAAGCATGGCAAGGAACAAAGTTCGGTGTGATATAACTGCCGCCGCGCCGCGTGCCTGCGAAGCTGGTGTGTTTCGCCGAAGGGCGGTTATACTGGCAGATACAGATACAGAATTGAGGTGTTCAAAAACTCCAGAACTTTTCCAAAGCTCCAGATATTTCCCCAGAACTATCGTAGACTGGAACTCGTTGCCACCAAGCACAGTTGGGGCATCATCACTAGAAAGCTATAAACAACCCCTGCAGTTAAATGTGCAAAGATTGTGTGTAACAAGTCGTTTGGTGTGATATAGCTAGCTGTCGCCGCGCCACGTGCCTGCGAAGCTGGTGTGTTACCCAGAAGGGCGGTTATACCGGCTATACAGATACAGAAGCTGGTGTGTTACACCGAAGGGCGGTTATACCGTCTATACAGATACGGAATCTGGTGTGTTACGCCAAAAGGTGGTTATACCAGCTGTACAGATACAGAAGCTGGTGTGTTACACCGAAGGGCGGTTATACCGGCTATACAGATACAGAATGCAGATAGTTGTTCATAACTGATATTGAGTGATTTGCTGTTCCCATCCAGGGTGTCCGGTGAGTCAGACCAGTACCGGCTGACCGTTTCCGGGTATTCAGGCGACGCGGGAGCCTCCATGACTGACAACAACGGGCAGAGGTTCTCCACTGTGGACAGGGACAACGATGCTTGTCCCTGCCACTGTTCTCAGTGGTGGGGACAGGGCGGCTGGTGGTTTTGGGGCTGCAGCTTCTCCTTCCTCAACGGCCGCTACCTGCGCAACTGTGGGAACTCCTGTGAAGTCTGGCAAGGTGTGCTGTGGTACACTTGGAGAGGCTCTAATTACTCCCTGAAGTCTGTGTCTATGAAAATCAGGCCCAATAATTGATTTTGCTCTACTAAATCTGATCACACCCAGTTATCCACAAAACCATCAATCCTACATGTCTGTAACGCCAAGGACATTATACACAGATATAATGTCCTTGGTAACGCTGACAAGTAATGCTCTCTATTGTAGCGGCTTTGTCTGATACAAACTTATGCCAGAATTAGTAAATTTGAATGTAGCAGTGAGGCAGACATCTTTGTTCAGATATTATATACACGGGAGAAGTGTTCAGATATAGTCGTTATGGAGCAAACTGTTCACCATGACTTTTGGATACAAGTGACGATACCTGGAATATCTAGTGATAAGAAAATTAGTGGTGGCTTATTTGATGCTGGGAGCTTCTGATTTAACATAAATGCATTTTGTGAGGTATTTTTCTATTGTTGTAGAATGGCAGTAACGTGCTAATGCAACTGTAGTGTTGTAGTCATGAATTCCATATTATATAATACTGTACAAGTATATTAGCCCTGGTCCATACATAACCTACTTATTTTTTCTTAGTCTTCTAGCAAATAAGTTTGAATGTATGAGGTATCGACTGAGCAAATATAAGCTAGTGTGGGTTGGTGTAAGTGGGCTTTATCTGATTTCATTTCTGTTGCATCAACATCATAACTTTGTAACAAAACAGAAATGCAACAATGAAAAACTGCAACAGAGCAGACTGCTACATCCGAAGTCTCACAATGCTTTTATTTTGCTTCTCCGTTCATCCAGCCGTAAAAATCTTGCTTCAAAAAAAGACTTGTCCCTGGTGCAAGCACGTCTAACCCCCGGTTGGGGAAAAATGACGTTAAATCCGGTTAAAAAAAAAAAAACTACCAACACAGATGAACTTTCATGATACTACCTTTGCATGTTGTTTCATACTTAGTGGCACAGCAGTAGCCTACACAGTGTGTAGACCACATCTGTGTGGTGAAAGGATATACAAAGATTTAATCAAAACTGAAAATACTGTAATTGTAAAGACATACATGCAGTACCTCAGTCAGGTGCTAGGAGGAGCACATTTGAAGCACTGAAAACTATTGTATTGTATCGGGCTTTGGTACCAGGTATCAGGCCTTGAGTGGACCCAACTCAGGGCGGTCGTGTTGGCCAGGTGGTCGCCTTGGACAGGTTGCTTAATGCTTGTTTTTTTGTTTGTTTATTTATTGTGTTTATTTATGTTTACAAGTACAAACATACAAGTGGAAGGGAGGACAAAACAGGTGTATTGACACCTTTACAAGTTGCCCTCCCAAACACAACAATATAGATACAGTGCATTACAAATTACAAAGTTGAACAATGGGGAAATTTCTTGGACCGAGAAGAAGCGGTCACCATGGACAGGTGGCCAGCTTGAAGAGGTGGTCACCTTGGCAGGTTTGACTGTGCTCTTTTGGCAGGTTTGACTGTGCTCTTTTTTTCACCTGATTCGATGGAGGAAATAAATTTAAGTGTCTGTATCTGTATAGCCGGTATAACCGCCTTTAGGCGTAACACACCAGCTTCTGTATCTGTATATATATATATAGCCAGTATAACCGCCCTTCAGCGTAACACACCAGCTTCGCAGGCATGCGGCGCGGCGGCAGCTGGCTATATTACACCGATCGACTTGTTACACCTATATAACCCTTGAACATCTAACTCTAGGCATTGTTTAAAGCTATCTATTGGCAATGCCCCTACTGTACTTGGTGACACAGTGTGTCTTTCCCAAGAACACAACGCTGAGGCCTACCAGGAATTTGATCCCAGAACCATAAGATCCCAAGCACAGGACACTTCACTGCAATGTGAACCAGTCCGCCGGCTTTATGTAATACTATGTATAGTCCTGTAGCCTTTAATTTTCAGACTGTAGGGGCAGTGGGTTGTTAATCCACTGTGTTTTAGACACGGTATTGGAAGGTGGAGCCCATCCCTCTCCTTCCACTGCCTTTTACCTCCCCAACCAAAGTCAGGTACCAAATTCAGCACCAAGGACAGTGCCCTTTAGGTAAAGGTTATCCTGTAGCCTTTTTCAGGCCATAGGGGCAGTGGGTTGTTATACACTGTACACGGTATAGGAAGGTGGAGCCCATCCCTCTCCTTCCACTGCCTTTTACTTCCCCAACCAAAGTCAGGGACACATTTTGAGCCTGGGTGGAGTGAAGACAGTAATGTTAAGTGCCTTTTCCAAGGGCACAAGATCGGTGACGGTAGGATTCGAACCCGGGACCTCTTGGTCCTGAACCAAACACGCTACCGCTGAGCCACACGACCCCACATTTATGTATTCAGGGAATTAAAAAAAAGGGCCTGACTTCTGCAGCTGCTGTCCTGTTGCCACTTATGTTTCGTTACTGGCCACAAAAGTAGCAGTTTTAATAGCAGATTGCTACATCACAACTGTGGCCGGCAGGTGTCCCGGACACCAAATGGCCGACTCGGCAGGTGTTCGGGTCGGGACAGGTGTGTGGGACAGGTGTCTAGGACAGGTGTGTTGGACAGAGAGAGTGTTCTGAGGGGACGGTCTACACTTTATTTCAATCAAATCAATCAAATTTTTATTCAGTAAGGTTCTCGCGGGCGAATACCCGAATTTCGTCCTTATTACAGTATATAGAGCATTAAAAACAATGATTTGTGACACTCTTCATTGTGCACATCATAGGCAAACACACTATTAGGACATATTCGAAGACGATTACACAATTATTTTATTTATTTTCCGTCATATTTAAACAGGGTGACCCACTCAGTGATGGCACTGCTTTTCAATGGGGCCCTGTATTACATACACACAAGTAAACAAAATACAAGTTACACACAAACAATAAAATTATACAGTAAATAATGATAATAAAGAAAAAACACTAAATAACCAATAACACTTGGAAAACCCCTCTTAGCCTCCAAGCACATGCATGGTGTAAAACGAATCGCTCGAGATCAGTATGAGTATTTGATTTGATTGATTGAAACTGCAACAGTGCAGTACACGTGGGACATAGACATCTGTTGCTGGTGTTGTGTCCCGCACATAGAAACAAATGCAGGATGGTCAATACTTATTTTCACTTAAGTCCTGGATTTTTTCTTTCACCAAATTTAGGTTGTGAGAAAGAAAAAAAACTGCAAAAGAGAAAGCCAATAAAAAAGCCTAAAAACACGCCAAAAATAACCCCAAACCTCTGCTTGGAGAGTACAAAAGAGTCTGGCTGAGACTACATGTAGTTCACTGTAGCCTATGTGGCTACTCTCCAAGCAGAGGTTGTGGAGGAATGATCGTTAGCTTTTTATATGGCCGTTTTTTTGTCGCTACCCCCACCACCCGTCGGTGGCCGCGGACCTTCTCTGGCCAATGGATACTGCCTGGCCAATTTGATACTGTCATTTTGCCATCGGAGGGATCTGCTTGGAGATTAGCCTATGGCTACCGAAGCTCTGAGTCTTGATGGGGTTTTGAGAGAACCGGCTGATTGTTTGTGCGTCATGTGTGCGTTAATAATGGACGTGATCAATGCTGTGACGTAGGTGATCAATGTCGTGACGTAGATCATCAATGTGGTGACGTAGTGATCGATACTGTGACGTATGCGATCATCAATACAGTTACCTAATAACTAATACGTGATCGATCCTGTGACGTGTGTAAAACTTGAATGCGCTTCGTTTTGGCGCCCATTTAGACCGAACTTACTTAATCTCCAAGCAGATCCTAGGGTGGCAAAAGACAGTATCAAATTGGCCAGGCAGTATCCAATGAGGGCCCATACGCCGCCTGGCCAATTTGACTCTGTCTTTTGCCACCCTAGGATCTGCTTGGAGATTAAAGCTTATTGTCTTGTATGTGATTTGAAGGGGCTACTAGTAATTTTATACAATATACGATTGCTATGTGTAATGTATTATTGATTGGGACCGTTTCCATGGTAACGCGCATATTTCTAAGCTGCGCGAATCCCGGCCGTCGTCAGAAAACCTGACGATCGTCCACCCCGCATCTGCTTGAAGCTGACGGCTCCCTAACTAACATGGCCGCCCCGTCTCCGGTTTCATGTTTTCCCGCCAGAAACGGTCTGAAGTATATATATATATAACCCGCCTGCGGCTGTGATACCGCTCAGCCCAGGGTAGAATTTCTAATTAACTTCATCAATTTCAGTCATTAGTTTTTGCAACATTCTCAGTCGTTTACTAGTATTTCTGTTACATTCCGAGTGTCTCGATTTTGTTACATTCTGACTTGCTTGATTTTGCTACATTTTGAGTCGTTTATTTTTGCTACATTCTGAGTTGCTTGATTTGACTACATTTTGAGTCGTTTATTTTTGCTACATTCTGAGTTGCTTTATTTCAATTTTGGCTACATTTTGAATCGTTTATTTTTTTGCTACACTCTTGAGTTGCTTGATTTTGCTACATCATGAGTTGGTCGTCTTTGCTACATCCCGAATCTGTTTTCGCTACATCCCTAGTGATGCCTCTGAGCCGCGGGTAGAATTTCTAATTAACTTGGTCAACATTCTGATCAGACCTTTATTATGTTACACGGGACTGTGTGCCGAGCCGTTTATTCTGCAAGCAGAGGGAGTAGTCTCCACCAGACTCTTTTGCAGGCTGAATAAATCCTAGAAATCGGCCTAAAAAGGGTATTAATTGGCAAGAAAAGGTAGCCGGCCAGAGAAGCGCCATTTGCCCGCGGGAGAGACTAATATTGAGGCTGATGAAGGAAATCCTGCTTAGAGTACACCTGATTTGCTTTGCTACATCCCCTGTCGTTGTTTTTGCCACATTTTCAGTCATTACTTTTTGCAACATTCACAGTCGTTTATTTCTGTTACATTCAGAGTCGCTTGATTTTGCTACGTTCTGAGTTGTTTATTTTTGCTACATCCTGAATCGCTTGATTTTGCTATATTTTGAGTCGTTAATTTTTTATACGTCAGAGTTGCCTGATTTTGCTACATTCTGAGGTGCTTGGTTTTGCTACATTCTGAATTGCTTGATTTTGCTACATTTTCAGTCATTTATTTTTGCTACACTCCGAATTGCTTGATTTTCCTACATTTTAGGTCGTTTATTTTTGCTACATTCTGAATTGCTTAATTTTGCTACATTTTCAGTCATTTATTTTTTATCTATTTTGAGTTGCTTGATT